AGGCACTGACAACCCCGTGTTTTCCCCCGACGAGGACTTGGGCATCCTGGCCCAGGTGCCGCCCTGGCTGTCTCCCGAGGAGACCGTGGTGCCCTCTCAGCGGGCCCGGGTGCAGATCCCCTGTTCGCCCGACACCTTCCGCCGCCTGACGCCTGACCGGCTCAGCACGCTGTCCGCGGACTCGCAGGGCCCCGAAGAGGCACCGCGAGCGGCTGAGTCCACTGACATGTAACGCCCTAACGCTGCTGTCTCCTCCTCAGGGCTCTCCCTCTCCGGGCTGGGGCTGCGGACTCTGCTATAACCCTCTTCACAGCTCCTTGCTCTGCCTCTTCCCAGGAGACGCTGATGGACGCTGGGCTCCGGCAAGGGCAGGCTCCGCAGTGTTTTACCACGCTGGCCTGTGGGAATTTAGGGTCTCGGCTGGCCACAGAGCAGGCCATCAGAGGGAGGAATGAAACCAGAGGGTGCACTGAGGCCTGGGTTCCCACACAACAGGGGAGGGGGAGGGGGCGAGAAGATGGGGAAGAGGGAGGGGGAGAGAAGGGGAAGGGGAAGGAAGGGTGGGGAAAGGGAGAGAAGAGGACGGGAGAGGGGGAGAAAGGAAGGGAGAGAGGATGGGAAAGGAGGGAGGGCGAGAGGGGAAAGGGAGAAGATGGAGAGGAAGGGAGGGAGGGAGGGAGAGGGGAGGAGGGGGAAGGTAGGAGGGGAGGGGAACAGGAAAGGGGAGGGGAGGAGGGGAGACAGATGGGAGCTGAAGGGAAGAGAAGGGCGGAAAGAGAAGAAAGGTGGGGAGGGGGCGGCAGGAAAGGAGGGCGAGGACAGGAGTCTCTCACTGGAGCACGTGGTGTCCAGGTTACCCGCTTCCCCGCCAGGCCCGCTGACCTGAGTGAGATAGGGCCAGGAAGGTAGGGGAAGAACTAGGGCGTTAAGTGAAGCAGGAACAGAACCCTTTCCATCCCTTCCTGGCCACCTGGGGACAGAGCAGTCCCCTTCGGCTGGAGTAGCCACAAGCCCCCTGTGAAATCCAGCACAGGGCTAAGGAAAGACACTGGACTGGAAATGAGGGTGCCACACTCAGCGCGCACGCTTGTGCCCCTGTAGCCTAGGCCCGTCAGCGGCTCCGTCTTTCTTTCTTGCTTCTGTCTCTGAACCTTGTCTTCGCCCTCTTTTTTCGGTAACACTATCAAACCCCTGTGTCTATGGGGCGGGAGGCTGTGTGCCCAGGACAGCTGTGCCCAGCAGTGATCACGGTGCTGGGTTGCTCTCATATCAGGGTGCCCCCCAAGATCGCTCTATGGCTGTCTCTGTGAACACCCGCAGTCAGAGTACGGCCCCAGTTACAGAAAACCCACGCGCCTAGGCCCAGCCTGGGGCCACCCAGCGCAGACACCTGGCGAGTCTCCAAGGCTCCAGCGCTTCTGTAATGGCGGAGTAAAAGGGGGATCCCGCCGTCACTCCCTGCCTGGGGTCACACATTGTCCGCGGTCACACCCTGCCCGGGACACCAAGCGCCGTTTCTGGTGAAGGCCTCCATGGCCAAAAGCGTGGCAACAAACCCTGTGCACCCTTTCCACCGCTCCTCCGGGCGCGGTCCGGCGCGGTCTCGCTGGCAGCCTGCGCCAGCCTGGCTACGGTGTCGGACGCCTGAGCCCCGCTGTCTCCCGCCCCGACCATGACGCGCAGCCGAGGCTCTATGCTGGACAGTCCCTGCGCTCATTCTTGGATCTCCCGCAGGTGACCCGGACCCCGACGTGCTGATCGGAAGCTCCTCCCCGCGTGAAGAGCCGCCCGAAACTGCTGCCCTGGAGACGCCCCTGCTCCCCGCGCGCCTCCCGCGTTCGCGCGCCCCAAGCCCCGTGCCGCCCTCCGTCCCCAACCCAGTGCCTGCGTCCGCGTCGCCTGCCAAGCCCAGGGAGACGCTGGACCGCGAGCCTGGGCCGGAGCCGGAGCTCGCACCTGGACCGGAGCGCGAGCGCAGGGGGCTGCCGAGTGCTCACGCCAGGTCAGCGGCCGCGCGCCGCGTACACAGCCGGCGATCGTTTCAGCGGCCCCGCGCGCGCCGCCGGCCTGCGCTGCTCAAACTGGCGTCGCTGCAGCCATCGTGCCATGCGCCTCCGCACGCGCTGGAACAGGAGGAGACGCCCCTGTGAGCGTGTGGCCGACACTGTTGTTTGGAAGGGACTGGCCTCGCCGACAGACAGAGACTCAACGGACCTGGAAAGGGAGATGACTGGAGCAGAGTCCTGTGCAGTGTAAGGCTCTGGGGCCCGGTGGTCCTGCAGAGCCTGGAGGCATGGCTCGGGCATCATCTGGTGCATAGGGGCAGCGAGTCCCCCAAGCAACGCCTTTAACATCCAGAGGCTGGATATTCAAGGGCCGAGGGACCGGTAAGCCTCAGTCCAGGAGCAGGACACTTGGAGGGACGTGCCCCGGGTCCATGATTCCTGAGGGCGACACCTGGGGCTCAGTTGCTGGCTGAGACCCTGGGTCTGTCCCTGCGCACTTTAGCCCACTCGCCCCTACCAGCCCCCCCCCCCCAAGTCTCAGGGACGTGACCTTGGACAAGAGCTGATAGCAAGGGTCTGTCCAGGCTGCTCTAGGGAACAAGGAGCCCCTCCCAGCACGCCCCTGCGCACTCTGGTGACCTGGGAAGTGGAGGGTGGAACTTGGCACACGCAAAGGCACTCCTAGCAGCTTTGTTAAAGCAAATCGAACTCTGCTCTTTGCTCAGGAAAATAAAATCCCTCATTAAAAAAAAAAAAAAGGAACAGAGGAACAAATTCAACCCTAGAGTTCCTATAATCAAGGATGCTTTAGGCAGAATATTAAATGATCCAGGATGTATTAAAAGAAGATGGAAGGAATATACTGAGTCATTGTATCGAAAGGAACTGGTAGAAACAGAAGAATTTAATGAAATAACATTTGAGCAAGAGCCTATGGTGATGAAGGAAGAAGTTCAAGCGGCTTTGGAAGAAATATCAAAAAATAAGGCCCCAGGAAGAGATGGTATACCAATTGAAGTATTTCAGATAACAGATGTTGCCCTGGATGTGCTCACCAAGTTGTGCCAAGAAATCTGGAGAACAACCACTTG